GGAATGTTTCCAGGTTCAGCTGCTGGAAGGATGGACTGTGCTGAGACAATTGTCATGTGCTCAGATGGGCAAAGCATCTGAGAGGAAATGCTAAGCAGATGTGGAAACGCTGATCAGCAAATGCAAACACTCCCTGACAGAGAGCTCAAGGCTGTGAGGGCTGGTGGAAGCAAAAAAAACCCCAAACACACTAGCCAAATCCTCCTTTTGGAAACACATATGCTGGAAGGATGGACTGTGCTGAGACAATTGTCATGTGCTCAGATGGGCAAAGCATCTGAGAGGAAATGCTAAGCAGATGTGGAAACGCTGATCAGCAAATGCAAACACTCCCTGACAGAGAGCTCAAGGCTGTGAGGGCTGGTGGAAGCAAAAAAAACCCCAAACACACTAGCCAAATCCTCCTTTTGGAAACACATATGCAAATCTTACTAAATTCAGTGAGAACTGCAGGCATGTGTCTGAGGAGAGAATTCTGCTGGAACTAGCCTTGCCCTGCCCAAAGGTTCTTTGTTTGCTAAGAGGAGATGCCACTCCCCATCACCCACTCTGAGGGAATGCTCATACTAAGGAGTAGAACTTGAAAACCAAATTGAAATTCACCCATATGGAAATGGTTTTTAATTCACACTGACTAAAGCTGATAGGCTCAACCAACATGTCTAACATTAAAAGCACTTGAGTCATCTACAGTTGTGTTTCACTCCCTTTCTAATTAACTAGTCCTAGATTAAATTTTAGCTTATCTGGTAGAACACTCAATTGAAATGATCATTACATTCATCTTGGCCATAACTTAGCAAAGACTTTGGAAGGATTTCTTTCAAACCAAAGCACTTTCAGAAGTAAGAGGTGAACAGACCTACATTGAAGCACATCTTAACCTCATGTTGTGTATCTGTGGAACAGGTTTCAGCCAATAACACAATATTTCTGCTGTGAATCAGGAGATGTTAAAATGACCTCATGCTGCAAATATGTTTCTCCATGTTTAACTTTACACATATAACTTGACATGAGTCAAGTCAAACACATACGTAAGTATTTAAAGGACTGGAGACTAATTATTCGAGGGCTGTTTCAACCCTGCAAAGTATCAACATTTCAGAGAAGACAGAGCTTCAACAGACACTTAATTTACAACTTATTTCTCCATCGACATTTGGCAGCAGAACTTTGATCACTAAAACTTCTATCACTCCAAAAGAAGAGGAAGAAAGAGTATTCCAACACTGCCTTCATCAATCAGGGATATTACAAAGTAATAAATCTAAACTAGAGGCTGCATTCAGCCTCATGACTTTTACACTATGGAAAAGCTTCTAATTCTTCACACAAACACTCTTGTGCTAAAGAAACAATACAGATACAAGAAAAATATATATTCATTTTACAGTGACTAACATTGAAATGGCTGAAATACGAAGTGCTGTTATAATAACCAAATCAAACACATTTAAACATGATGAAAAATGTCTGTTTTTGAAAGCTTTTACTCACTGGTGCTAATAACAGACAGAACCATCCAGACACAACTGCAGTGTGACAGTGCTCCTTTAATTCAGATGCTCAGTACTCATCTTTTAAAGCTCAGCAGCATTTCCATGTTTCAAACCTTGGCCAAATTATCTCTGTAATTTACACCTCTTGTTCTCAGACCTCATGGCACAGACATCCCTCACCCTGTGGAATTACAGTTATTATATCATTTAAGCAAACTGCTTGAAGGGGCAATTAAAAGCCTAGTCCTAATTTAGAGATGCCAAGTGTGCAAACAGCCATGTGGTTGCTTGAAGACTAAACACCGTTAAGCATTTGGCCCTAAGGATAAGAGCTCAAGGGTTCAGAAAGTCTGATTTGTTTCTTTAACACAGCTCTGAGGTTCCTTTCAGCTCACAGCACAGCACCCTGTAGGCAAAGCAACATCCCATTTCCTCCTGACTTACACAGCCAGTAGAGCCACAGCAAGGGCAGGAGCACAGAAAGTGCCAGCAAAAAGTTAATGACATCCAAATTTTAATTCTTCAAATACAGTAGTAGAAGAGAGGACATTTTAGGGGTCTTGGTGAGGTTTTACAGGAAGGAACAAAATCCTCCTTCTAAGAACAGCTTTGGGCTGGGTTGAAATTGGAGACCAAGATCTCCCCCCATGGCTCTGGAAGGAGAAGTGATGCTTATTGGGTTTTATTATTATTCTTTTGTTAAACTGTTTTGACCTTTTTCTTGTTTCTTTTCTCTCTCACACACTAATGCTGCCTCTGTTCTGACTAGCAATCTGCACTGGAGTCCATTAAAATGGAAATATCCCCAAGTGAAATCATTCCTGTCATCGGGAACAGGAGGGAAACGCTACAAAAGAGCAGCAGGAAAAGAACAGTTAGCACTTTTAAATTATGCTATGCAACTCAAGAGCTTGGAGACTTCTGGACTTGCAAACACCCTCAGACTGCAAAGCAAACAGAGACACCAGCACAGAGAACCTCAGCTCTCTGCCCCCAGTTTGGCTTTCCAGCTCCCTTCCCAGGAAGCTCCAGCCACCCCTCCAGGCCTTCCAGTGCAGAAGTTTCAGCCAGCTGATCTGGTGACTTTAGAAAACTGCTGTGCCAGATGACAAAGATCAACAAATGACCTCGTGTTTATTTTACACTGGATCCTGGAGAAGTGTACACACTGTAGGTACACAGGCCTGGCTTGGAAGCTGTCAGCCAAGCCCCAGATTGATTTTAAAGGGACTTTCAAAAACCTTCAGGGTGTAAACAACTTGAAAACCTCAACTCATTTCTCACAGAAAGAGGCCTGGCAGCACAGGAAACTCAGCTCCGTCCTTTGCGTGGCTTTTCAGTAGGCATCCAAGTGACACCAGGAGATCAAAGATGTGGCTTAGGAAGGAAAGAAACTTATGTCTCCTTTTGTTTTTCAGTCATGCTTGGATATCCAACAGATTTTATTCTGTAATGGACAGGAAGTTGAATTTGGATATGAAAAAAAAAACATTCAAAAGAAGCTGGGTGTGCCCTCCCTATGGTCCTGATGAAGAAAGAGACTTCATCATATGTTTAATTATAAGCACTTGAGCACTTCTCCTAACTTCACTGAATCTGGATGCAGATGTTAATCATTCTCTAAAGCTCTTCTTCAACACTTCTCTGTTATTAAGCTGCAAAATATGTGAATTTAAAGAAGACACAGCACTTTCATCGGACTACGAGCAAACAGGAAGTTTGATTTCGGTGCTGAGCACTAAAGGGTTAAGCTGTGTTTTAATACAAACAAGAAATGCTCCCTACAGCTCATTATGTCCCATTTTATTTCAACACAAACCCCAAGGTAACCAGGTAAAAAAGTGAACCCATCACTCTGCCTGCTGAAGGTAGCTTGAAAGAGCATACATTGATTTTGAAATCAATAAATTGATAAAGACTTTGAAAGGAGAGACTTGAAAACCAGAAGACAGAGCAAACAGCCAGAAACCACCATCAATTTTTTTTAACCTGCAACTCATCTTTTGAAAGTATTTACACCATGTGAACACTTTTGGTTTCATGAAACTCTGCTTTTAATTACCTGGGGCCCTACAAGTATTTTTAATTGGAAAGATACCACCCTGTGTCAGGTGATTGGCTCAAGAGCTGCTGAGTAAATTGGTCAGGAAGATTGGTACCAATACATGTTCAAGTGCACACACTAAAAAAAAATAATCAGTAAAACCTAACTGAATGTCAACAAAATGCATCACTAAGCAAAGGCTGTGTGCAAATGGGCAGATATTTGTTCTATTACACAACACAGTGAGTGACCTGAAACCCCCATTTGCCACCACAATGGTCAGACACTTATTGGAAATTCAATTTAGGTTGTTTTTTAAGTTATGAAATGAATGGGTTTCAGTACAGATGCAAGCCTGGCTTCTGGTTCTACTTGATGCCTTTCACAATCAACATCAGGTTTCACTTATACTTTAATGAGAAAGCTATTTGAACATCTTGGCACTGGGGCTGTACATCTTCTGTGGAGCCAGAGATATCTGGAGCAATATGAGAATCATGGTTTACAGCATTGGGTTCCACATTAGGGAATTCAAATTAAGGATATGACTCAAATTCTCAGTAAACTCCACATGTAAATAAAACATGAATCTGCTCTATTTATGCCAGACATAGACCAAGTAGAAAAATGTGGTATCCACAGGAGAATGATCACCAGCAAAATAAAAAGATCAATGATGAGCAATTAAAATGATTCAGATTCTTGGTTAAAACCAAAGTCATTTATAAATCATTAAGAAATTCTTAGACAAGTGCATGGATAGTACCAGCAGGTTCTGGTTAATAAAGAAGAGCTATAACTAGTGTGGAAGACTATCACATATTTAGAAAAAGCAGCATTAATACAAACCTTCTCTTTATCATACATGTGCAGGAGAAGCCACGTTTGTCTTGTCTTTTGAAACTTCCATTCTTCTGGGTTTTCAGACCAGCTGTAGGAAATGAAGAGGAAAACCAACATTTGCTTAAATGAAATGCTGTGATATCAAAAGATTCTTTACTCAGAAAATATTCCCTGTGCCTCCAAGTGACTTTGTATGTAGGACATGGAGTTTGGCAGCACTCTGAGACACAGAGACTGGCAGAGATTTTATACAAGTGGCAAATAAAGAACCCAAGGGACAGTAAATAGATTCTAGGAAGGCATTATAGCCAAAAATGTTTACATTTTCCTCAGACAGCACTGATTCCCTGAAGTTAAATATCAAGTCTCACTCCTCACCTTGATCAGGCCTTTAGGAGAGGACATCCCCCTCATTTGACCCATGAGCTCCCCCAATCCCTACCCTGCTGCAGGACCTGAGCACCTGGGGAGGTGGAGTGGACAAGGAACCAAGTGTGGGTTTCAGAAAGCTGATGTTACACAATAAACTGCAATTCAGATGAAATTAAGCAGCCTCTGATGGTCTGGGAGGAGTGATTCATTCACCAGTCACCTGAAGCCTATCACAGGTGGATGTTGTAGAGCAGACACAATTTGTTCTTTAGAAGCATATGGAATCATAGAAGCATCAAGGTTGGAGGAGACCCCTAAAATCATCAAGTCCAACCATTAACTGCTGCAACCCCTAAACCATATCCTCCAGCACCAGCTCCAGACACCTCTTCAACTCCTCCACCACCTCCCTGGGTAACCTACTCCAGTGTCTGACTATGTTTTAAGGCTTGGGCTTGTCTAAAGATGTGATGTAATGTTGATGTTTACAGGACAGAAAATGTTGGTTTATGTCTCTCTCTCTCACCAGGAATCCTTCAATCCTGTTAGAAGTGAGGGGGCAAACCAAAGGATTAACATCTGCAAATGTTCTTTGGCTGTTTAGCAAACACATTTTAAATATGCCCAATTTTAGCTGGGTTAAAATAGCACATTTATGTACATCTTGAACGTGTTTTTTAAAGCTGGGACGTTCTGGTTTAGATGAAGAAATAGACATTTCTATAAACAAATCAGCAAACTAGCAAATCTCATTATAAAATGAATGTGCTTGAAAATTAGCATCTTCACATGTAGAAAATCTGACAGTACACTGAAAAATGTCACTTAAAAAGAAAGAAAAAAAGAAAAAATATATGGGGAAACCCAGAAACTTTTAGCCTTCTTTGATTTTTCTCTAAAGAACAAGTCTCCAGAGAGTTGCATGCAAGATGCCATTAATGTTCCAGCTTGTTTTACACAGCAGTAGAGAGCACAGAAATCAATTGACAAGCCAGCTGGGTATGAGAATTAGTATTGTTTAAACACTGTCAAGTCTAATAAAGCAAAAGAATCCTCATCTTTGGTGAATGCTGCACCAGCAAATACATTGTTCAGCCAATTCAATGAAAGAGGAAAAAAAAGGAGACCACAGATTTGTACAGAAAAGTTTCATAGAAGCCTCTGCAGAGAGCACAGAAAAAAAAAGATTGTCGTGATGTTCAGCTTCAATAAGAAAACACAGGAACAGCTCATTAGGGTTATCACCAGCCAAACCTAATAAAATAGTCTGTAACCAACATATAAGGTAACAAACAGCCAAATCACAGCAAACCAGGAAGAACAGACTAATACTAATAACCACAACATATCAACACTAACAAACACAATATATCATCTTTTACATGCTCAAATTAAATCTACAAAAGAGCTGACCTAGAGGCCTCTTTTGGAACATTGGCAATAAATAAGCTGAAGTTTGCAAAACAAATATTGCACAAAAGAACGAGCCCAAAACCTGCCAAAAGTTATAGAATCAGACATAAAATAATACTATGGGGAAACCATCCTTCTCCCATCACCACCAACCTAGAAACCAAAGTGCTTGCAAATTAGAGACCATTCAGCCCTTGGTGTCACCTGCCTTTGCACTGAGGTGCCCAACAACTGTCAGAATGGCACCACAGTGTGATGAGAGGAGTCAACAGAGACAGAATTAACAAGGGCTTTTCTTGTGGGTACAGTTTGGGGGACAAACAACAACCTGCTCATTTGTACCCAATTTCTGTTTGCAAGGCAAACACAACAGCTCCTAACTAAGAAACTGGAATTTCTGCAGGAAGGGACTGAACCTCTAGAAGTCATAGTTTCCTAGCATGCTAAGGGGTTGGAATGGAGCTTAGAGATCATCCAGCCCCAACCCCCTGCCCTGGGCAGGGACACCTCCCACCAGAGCAGGTTGCTCAAGGCTTTAGCCAACCTGGCTGTGAACACTGCCAGGGTTGGGGCAGCCACAGCCTCCCTGGGCAACCTGGGACAGTGTCTCACCACCCTCACAGGGAAAACTTCTTCCTGATATCTAACCTAAATTTCCCTCTTTCAATTTATGCCCATTTTGAAGCCCTTCAAAAACAAACCAAAAAAAGACAATGACAGTGACTGCTGTTCTTTTAATCCATTCTTTTATGAAGTTCATCTTCACCAAGAAGAAGGTAAGTTGAAAATGCTTTTTTACATTAATTAAGCCTGGGAACAGTTTATATTCTAGTCTTTGCAAGGTGAGAAGAACAAGCTGAATGACACATCTGGGACCTCATCCTGTGCAAACAGTCCCTTTACCACATATTTGTGTTTCTCTAAAACATTCTATGTATTTAGACATTTGCAATGATATCCATTGGTTAGACACAGCACAGAGTGCTCTGAATCTTTTATTCTCTGCTAATTTTATGTTCCTATCACCTGAGCACTGTTGCCATTAAAACTTTCAAAACACAGTCTGATTTCCCTAATCTCCTATAAAGCTCTAGGATGTTAAAATATCTTTATTACCTAGTTTATAAACAACTGAGAGCAACAAATGAGTGCACTATAAGGTTAATTGCTCTTATTAACCTATTACCAAAACCATATGCTCTTCTACATGCTAAGGCAAGTGGTTGTGCTCCTGCCTGCAACATCCCACATGGACTTTCACTCTACTCAGTTCTCTTGTGGAAACAAACAAAAGTTTGAGTTTGTCTGCCTGAAAGGTTCTGCTCTATATACACCACAATAATTCACATAAACAACAAATACATGAACATAATTAACTGCAGATAGGATGTTTATGCCCATTCTAGCACTGGAGCCTCATAAACAATTCCTTTTGGTTCATGCTCTGTCCTGTTAGAAGCAAATATTGAATTAGTACAGTAAGAAAAAAAAGAGTATTTTCCTTAATAGACTATGGGTGTAAACTCAGAAAATAGTCCCAAGTTTTAACTGGTACTATAGCCATGGTTGTATTGACTCCTGTTTCTTCCCCTGCAGGAAAGTGTTCCTTCTATTGACCTGAATTCCTATCGAATCGTGAGTGAAACGCTCTGGATAATGGATACACAATCTTTAATGTAGATAAGGGGGCAGTTGTTCCTTGCAATTGGACTTTCCAACAGTTATTAAAATAAAACCTTTCCACTGATTCCTACTCCTATGAGAGCTTTAAAACCTATGGAAGCATCACTCCCTGACAAAGTGAGAGAGGTATCTTCGTTTATCACAATGACATCATTAGTACATTTTTAGAAATGCTCAACTTTTAAACTACAGAAGTTCAAGCTTAGTAACACAAGAGAGGTCTCATTTTGCTGTTCACATGCAGATAAGCTTCCTTGACACACTACAGCAGGAGAAAAGGCTTTTCCTTTCAGTCATTGCAGACACAGAGTAAGACCAACTACATTACAGTTAAAAACCCTCTTTTTATAGACAACCATAACCTCTTTCACAGTGTGAATTAGTTTGGTAGCCTCTAGAATTATCTCTGCCAGGATCTAATATAAACTATGGAATTAGATGAAAAATATACATGTGTAAAACATGTATTTTTCCAGTGTGCCTCAGGCTGACTTTCAATCTATTGTACAAACACTAATTGCCTTCTTTACATGGTTAATGTATGAATCTTTCTTATGAGCTTCAGCTCATTGAAAAAACACATTGGTTGACTTTAGTTAAAGAGAACTTAAATGCCTGTGCAAATGATCTTCCTAAATGGCTTTGAAATTGAAGAGACAGAGGAAATGAATCAAATAAATCAAGCAGATTAGGATATGTTACATTTGGGCTTTTGTTTTTTAGCATGAGAGTCTCATGTAGAAAAGCTGCCCAAGATTCTCCCTAGTCTATCTCATAAATGCCTTCTAGTGTCTATAGTTATCTCACACAAATCTATTCCCAAACCCTGGGAATTCAGGCAGCATAAGGAGGCAAAGAGAAGACAATTGGCAGTGTGCAGGGCAGAGCACTCTCTGGGGTGTCCTAGTAGAAAGAGATGGGGAAGGGAAAGTAGTCAAATTAGTTCCAGAAACACAGTAAGGGAAAAACATTATTGTTACAAATTGGATTCAGGAAGTCAGCACAAGGCATCTGCTGAGACTACTGGCCAGGACAAAACACTACAGAGCTGTCACAACGGGTAAATAACCACTGTGTGGAGAAGAGCACTGAGAACCAACCAGCTCAGTCATTTCATTTGGAAAAATGATTGGGTAGGAGACAAGACTCAAGAAACCAGAACAACATACAGAGATGTGACTGCTGATAACCTTCCAGAAGACACAACAGCATTGCTGCATGCTGAATGCAAGGACACCTAGACTCACCTCCACCTACTGCTCCAATCTGGTGCCACCGATGCTCCAGCCCTCCATGGATACACCTTCCTGCCTGGGTATCCATCCAAAGAAAAGCAGACTGTCACCAAACTTAGATTTCTCCAGCACACAGCCCAGGCTTAGCATCAGGGAATTCACCTGAAAGGTTTCTCCAGATCTGAGGACCAGCTCAGGTAACTATTTACCTTATGTCTGACTCTCTCAAGCTTCCCTCAAAGGAGGGACAGAGCCATGGGCCTGGCTCATGGGACCACATGGGGGCTACATGGAGAAGATCTACTGAAAACATGAGAAGCAGCATTCTACAGCATGACACAGACACTGTCATCTTCTTCCCACCTCATTTCCCTGGGTGCTTCTC